CTTCAAAACTATGCTATTTTCGGCTCTCAATTCCACCTTTCACTAACTAATCAGTCACTGGCATGTTTTTTTTCTGTCTTTTTTTGGGGGGGGGAAGAGGGGGGGGGGACAGGAAGACGCGCGTGATTCAGAGCATACTTGATCCCTGTATGTAATGGGTGACAAACTATACGCAAACCCACTGGGCTACTTCACAGCAGCACAATCTGAAATACATCTGACCATAATTATGGCTCTACTTGCACGTATCCGACCGCAATCACGTCCAAAAGTACGTAAACACGTCGCTGTGTGAGTATGCCCTCAGGGGGTGGAAATACTAACGTGCCGAGAATGGACAACGAACTCTGAGTCACTGCAACGAGGTAACAGGTGCATCATAACTGGCTGAGAGATCGTTGGAAGGCCACACTGACCAATCAGTCAGTGGCATGTCATTCGATTCCTCGTGTTATAGGTGAGAAACGCTCCTTGCAGTCCCGACGTTAAGGAGAACACCCTTTCCAGCCCTTACGTTTAACTTAGCCAAACGGGAGCAAACGGGAGCAAACGGGAGCAAACGGGAGCAAACGGGAGCAAACGGAGCAAACGGGAGCAAACGGGAGCAAACGGGAAAAAAACTAGGGGGAAAAAAACTACCGGGAAAAGACGGCGACATGAGGAATGGTGAACTGGACAGTGGAGTTTCCTTGCAAGCGGCAGCCTGCAGGTAGCGAACAGTGTCTTAGAGTTCAGCGGGGTGTTGTAGACTGGGTCTCCGCAGTGCAGTGCAGTGTCCTTGCAGTGCCAAAGAGATTACGACCAGCAAGGGGAGTAGTACTGATGGTAAATCAATGAAGATCGAACTCGACACCTCTGAATCCTTGGGGGTGTTCCAATCTGAACTCGGGCGCAACATGATGGGAGCGTAAAACTGTTGGCCATTTGATTATTGATCATTTGTTATTAAGTTCACCCCCAGGGCAACTTGGGGTACCGAATGCTGGGCGTAAAATTGTTGGCCATTTGATTATTTAATTTACTGTAGTCATTTGTTGTCGAGTTCACTCCCAGGGCAACTTGGGGTAATGAATGGTGGCGGGATGATCTCATGTCAGTTTCAGGAACGAACGATTTAGTTGTACAGGGATGCTTGACCCGTTTTCCAGACCAGGTGCAGCTTCCCAACTAATAGATGGAGCAACCAGCGACACTTATTACAGTTGGATGGATGCTCATACCACCACCTCTAGTAGAGGTCGCTGGCTTCAGTTCATTCATCTCACCGCGTTGCCAGTGGACCAGTGGCTATACCAGATCGAGCTGCACCTGTTCAGTGATCAATCGCCGTTTTTTTTTTTTTTTTTTT